TTTGATCCTATTTTTCTGCATTATTCAATTGTTCGTCTAGGTAAAACTCAATGCGACATTTTGAATATTACTTTGTTTCAAGCGGTATTACTAAAATCCTATAAATTATCACAAGATAAATTATATTTGAATAAAGCTTTATTTTTATTAAACATATATGGAGTATTGGCAGAATGGGTACACGACATGGTATAAGGACAAGCTAATTTTAAAAAAAAAATTTTGACGTTATATATAATCTACAGTAGAATTCATTTGTTTAACGGCGACTGATTGATTCCAATCCACTCCACCATTGTTGGTGGTAGTCGAGAGTGAGTTTCCTAGATCTAATGTAAAGTAGTAGTCAAAGAGCGCCAGACGAATGATTCAAAAATAGAACTCCGGATAAAGTGCTTTCAGCCGTACGAAGGAGCTCAAAGATAATAAGTTTGCGAGTTGTACGTTGTGTATCTAGTGTTTCCCACTGTTCCATTGAGCTCCTCCTTGATATTGTCGCTACGTAGATATTAAATGTAGTATATATGTCACCGGAAAATAACAAGAACCGCAAATCAATAAATGTCCTAGTAAATGTATAAAGTATCAATAAATGTCCTAGTTCGTACGATTCTAAACGAGTGATATATTGTATTAATTTACGTCCACATTTTCGCAAATAGATAAAGTTACCGAACTCCCGCTCTTTCACTCCTTTCTCACCACCGTCATTGTTCGCGTTAGTAAAAAAGTAACCCTTTATTATAGGCACCAACTATTATAGGTAGTTTTAAAGTAAATATATTATTAAGTACGTAATTGAAATCAATAATTGCAAGCCCTACTCACTGCACCCGTGTCAGTGAAGGACCAGGCATTGCGATTAAAATAATTATAGTTTGGTGAGTCTGCTGATTGTTTCAAGTCTATGAATACAAGTATTGCCACTTAACAGTGGCATTAGTTGATGTTAATACATCGACTAATCAGAGAGCAGTTTATTATTTGCTGTATTCCAAAGAAAGTATATGTTCACACGGCAGCGCTTTAAAATCGCGACGGTTTTCTATCGCGCATTGTTTCATTTTCAGCGCTAGGTAATGGGTGTTAAAGTTTAATTTGGATCGCTGGGAGTTTTAAAGCGGTTAAGCTGTGTGCGAGTGCTTAGGTTAGTCTTTAAAAATGTTGATATGAAAGTAAAAAATGAAGCTACCTATCGCGCTTAGCCTCATCTAAAAGGCAAGGTAACTCGCTATTATACCGACATAAATAATGACATGTAAGAGAGTGATGTAGTATGATCGTTGATATAACCGTTAAGGTTGGTATTCACTGAAAACATGATACAGGTACTCAAAGACCAAAGTCTTTTGAAATGCTACACCGATCAACCATCAAGACGTGAAAAATATTACCTAATAGTCTTAGTGTTTTCTTTTCAAATTAGAAAAACACCTACTGTTTATTAATTAGTTGTTTTAAGCTTTCGTGGTCATTTACATTAGAATTAAAGTTTTTTACGGGATTGCTCAATGATTTTACAATAGGATTGCTACAATATACCTTGTTTATAATGGGCCTGGTAAGGGGGTTATCCCGTCATAGGCGAAATTTTAACATTCACTAGCTGACCCGAGAGACGTTGTCCTGTCTTAATTATGAATATTGAATTCAATCAGTATTTATTTACATCCTATTTGACGATATTTGCAGCACACATTTTGTCAACTCGATGTTAAATTTCATAAGGTTTCATTAAAAATAAAAACGTTTATATTATTCAAAGCACTAAGGTTACATAAGAAATGATTTTATATGCTGGTTAAATATTCTTAAAACTTTAAATTTTCCACACATATTTTTTATTTTTTCTTTCATAAGAACCTTCTCCTGGCAATAACAAGTAAATCTGTTTACGTGTGATGGCGTGACTAAGGGAATTAGAAATTCATTTTTATTTAAATAGATAATTTCAAGTTTTTTTAATCATCAGACGGGGTTACCTCGTGATCATGGCGTTTGTAATAGCGCTGAAATAGCAGGAACTTACTAAAAACAAGTTACATGGTAGCAACCCCGTAAAAAACTATTATGCTTCTGTTTATTGATAGAGCAAAAAAAAAAAAATATTAATAGTATTGTTATCGCAGACTTACTATCTTAAAATAATGTTTTTTCTACTAGATAGTTATAAATTTAAAAGATATAAAACTAAAGGCACGTGATACTAAAATTCCTGGAATAAGAAGAGCAGAAAAAGCTTTTTTATTATATTCTAAAGAGATACGTCACTTTGAAAAATGGTCCCGATATAAAATAATACGAAGCCTCTTTCCATTACATTAATAATAAAATATAGGTAATGTAGTTCATTGCAATTTCTACAAAAGCTTAGGGATGTCAAAGTTCACATATGTAAATTCCAATAAGGGTTATTCAAACTTCAGGATATTGAAAGGAATTGTCCGTCGCCTATCGTCGCTGTATCGTCCAACGTCGTGTAACCGCTGGGATGACGTCAGCTGATAATAGCTACCGAACAGTTTGTAACATTTCGTCCGAACGTCAAACGGATATCCATCCAACTTTGACAAATATGAGGAAAACGGTAGCCATAGGAAAGTTGAATATTAAAACTGAGCTGTAATACTCGCGCAGCCCGTTTGCAAATAAGCTAATAAAGAAAGCTATCGTAAAGCACACAGTTATAGTTCCAAATTGGTTTGTTGTTTGAACGATGCGTCATGTGAACAAACGCTTGTTTCGGAAATGGAAACAGTAGCTATTTGAGTTCAGTCAGAATTCTGCTGAACATTTCAGTCACAGAGAAACTGTTCTAACAACTCTGCAAATTCTATACGGCTCGTGATTGTTTTGCGTTTTTTTTTAATAATGTACAAATTGCAATTGGAGCTACTTATGTAGATCACTTTGATACGGCATTTGTGCGAAATAAATATATTTTAGGGGATACGTATGGGCTTGTGTTGACTAATTTACCAATCAAAATGATTCATATTTTGTGCCATATCGTCAACATCTTTTTTTTAAATGTTATATAATTTAGGAAGCAGATTTTATTTTATGAAAACACGTTAGACTCACTGGAGCCATTTTACCTGAACATGTAACATATGTAGAAAATTACAAAAAATGTATGTAGGATGATTGAAAGTTGTGGAAAGGAACGCATGAATGTGTGAAAGGGAAGGGGTATGAGGTGAGCAAGAAGGAAAATGAATGGAGGACGAAATACTAAGGACGACCGTAAACAGTGGTGTATAAAAATATTTTAAAAGAAGAAATATATGTTTCAAGCCACGAGCGCCTTTATTTTTTTCTATATGTCTATTATTTAATTTATTACCTTTATTTCTATGTGTAGCCCTCAGCTATATATCGTTTTCTACCCTTACCATATTGTGACAGCACTATGAATAAAATATAGAATAGGTAACAATGAAAGACTTTTTGGGTGAAGCCTTGGGCACGTCTTAGGTTACTGAATTTATTATTACTTGACCTCGATACGACTGAAAGTCATATATTAAACGACCCTTTCCATGAGACATACATATCTGTTTTGTTTACCAAATGTATTAAATATTGGTCAGGTTGAATTTTTTGCTGCGAATCACTTTAATATTTGACTAAGTGGAATAACACTATATTACGATTAAATCTATTTTTGTTTGTTGCAGGTACTTGTATAGAAACAGAAGAAAATGACAGATAATAATAAAAAGCGTACCAGTAGCTTTCGCAAACTTTTTCCGAATCTATTTTTTTCACATAAATCTAAAGAAAAATCGACTTTAAAAGACACTTCTGTAGTGCTAAAAGATAGTACTGGCAATTCCGTGACCAATCAATACCATAATCCTCAAACGGTTTTTATCAAATCCGGCAAAGAAAATAATCCAAATGATGACGAAAACGTTTATGAAAATTTAACAATACATCAACAGGTGCCAGTGGATATTGAACAACGATATAATGTGCCGAGTAATCATTCATCAAGTAGTACATTAGTATCAGAAAGTATAAAAAACAAGTCTATACTTACAAGCGAGGAAACCGAAACTATTAACTATCCAAAGTATGTTCACAGACAGTATGCAGCGACGCCACAGGTACCAATAAAACCAAAAGAAGATTTATTAAATGTTTCAACAGATAGCAACAATACGAAATATCTGCAACATTCACAGTACCCTGATGTGTACTATCATTCTTTAGATAAATTGGTTGATAAAATATCACCTCTCGATGAAATTCATATTTATCGAGCATCTAAAGCACAAGCTGATCCGGCTCCTGTTGGTGCTGAAATAAAAAAAGTAAGCACAAAATTTCTAATTTCACCGAAAAAGGAAGCCGAAGTTCGAACTATACAGCCGAATAGAGCTCGAAGTCTGTCTCTAGATAAAACTAATCAAAGACCTAAGGAAAATAAATCCAACGAAGAAGAAATTAAGGATAATGTTATGAGAAAAACTTATAATTATTCAGCACCTACTTCACCAATACCCATAAACCATAAAATGCCAAGTATGCCGAAAACGGTTTCTCCTTACGAACATGTACGAAAAACGATGATTGAAAATGAGGAAAAACGGAATTCCTTGAGTAGATTAAGCAATCGTAACAAATCTACGCCATCACCAATGTCTACAGATTATGATTCCAATAATAGATCACTTACTTCTCCCAATAGAGAATCTTCTGTATTGGATAATTTTTCATTAGAAAAAGAAAAAACGCGTCAAAAAGTGGAAGCATTTTATTGGCAAAAATTAAAAGAACAAAAGCAAATGGAAGATGAGTATTTATTACGACAGTCAATTAAAACATCTGCTCAAAAGCCTATAATTTATGGCACTGTGTATTCGAATTCAAGTTGTAGCTCTCCTAATCCTACTTTTGTTGAACCAAGAAGTTGCAGTTTACCCAGAGGACAAGATTTGCAAAATTATAATATATCTTATATGATACAACACAATTCTCCATTTGTAAGAGGAGCCCCTGAGAGACGCACTGATTCATTTCTGGTAGCTAGAGATCGCGAAGAAGAAATCGTATACAGACATCCTGAGAAGTTGTTTATTAAAGATAAAATTACACCTATGATGGTAGTAAATCACAAAAAACAAATGCCCTTAATTCGCTATGGTTCTTTGACTCAAGAAAAAAGGAATACTTATCAGCAAACCAAACGAGTAAGTTTCGAAGAGCATTTGAACAAGTTGAAACTAGAACAGGTCAATATTGTTAGCGACAAAGATGTAAATCGCAATCGCAAAGAAAACATAAAAGAAATAAAACCCCATATCCCCTCAAATGTCGCAAAATGGCCGAAATATCCGTCGAATGGTGCACCTCGCCCACCAATTAGAACGACCAGTATAGGCAGTGGAGCAAGATGTACTTTAAATAACCCACAGAATAGTGCTATTGTTAGAGGGCAATCGTTGTGCTCTGAATCAGAAAGTGGATCAGAAGCTGGAGAAATACAAAGAATTCTACTAAACAAGACTCAAAAAGGTAAGTGGCTATCCTCGATACTTATTTTAAATTCTAATATATAATGTGTTCAACAGGATAGATATCCTGTTTATCAGAAAATACTGATGACCCTCTATTTGCTAATTACTTTTTCATAAAGTTATGAAATCCGGATTATTATGATTATTTACTCATCTGATAACTGATCGGGTCCAATATTAAATGATAATTTGACTTTTGAATTATTGTTGAGTTATGAGCTATGTAAATTAACAATTTATTGAATAAAAGTTCTTGATAAATAACGTTTGTAGCTTCTGACAATCTTTTTGCCAAAATTGAATGAAAACCAGCAAAGTTGTTTTCCATTTGTCGTTGTTTTACACGCTTAGCTGACTGTAGTGTAGCGTACAATACAAACATCTTAAGGGAACAATATCTACCCCCACATCAGTCGGGACGCGAGATTGTGCGCGAAGCCCTGCTTTGTTTCGTGAATTTCCGCTAGTTTTGCATCGTGCAAATTTGCGCCTTTTGTAAGAATTAACGCGGCAGTGCTTCAAACAATGTAAAAATTTATGAGTAATTTTAAAAATTCATATTGTCTTTAATGTTCAGATAGTAAAATGAGACCTTAGATTATATAATGTCACTTAAACATTATAGTATAGAATCGTAATTCACATATTATATTAATATAATAATTACTATATATAATACGAGAATATCCCTTTTAGAGCACAGTTGCAAGTGCGTGTTTTAGTTTGTGAAGCTAAATTTACAGATTCTTTTTATCTAATATAGATTTGAAATGTTCATATCTTAGTAAATTATTGTAACATTAAACTGATAAATTTATTTATTTAATCTTAATTGCCTTGTAAAATAGACAAACGGCGGACTTTACGCCAAAAAGGCATTCTCTATCAGTCAATCAATAAAAATACAGAACTTTAAAAGCGTGAACTTTTAATGATTCATTATCATTGTTTAATTTTTTTTAGCTTGTACACAGTTTATTCTTTACATACATACGAGGGTCAAACTGAAAGTTCTTAGAAAATCAAAAACTGATTACATTAGCCAGTTATTAGTTTTATTATATCTTTTCAAAATATTGTCCATTCACGTCAATACACCGCTGCATGCGATGGAACCACTGGGAAAAGCACTTTGCCCACTCGTCCTTAGGGGTCTCTTCAATGGCATCGCGTTACGCAGCCACCGCTTCTTCAGCATTCATAAACCGCTTTCCTTTAAGTTTTCTTTAATTTTTGGAAATAAATAAAAATCACAAGGCGCGAGGTCGGGGCTATACGGCGGGTGACCCAGTAATTCAACGTTTGATGTCGCCAAATAGTCGATCGTTCGCTTGGCGGTGTGCGACGAGGCGTTGTCGTGGTGAAGGAGGATCCTACTGCGAGGTCGTTTCTCTCGAACTTTTTCCAAGACAAGTGGCAAACAATTGGTAGTGTACCATTCTGCAGAAACTGTTTTTTGATCCTCTAACACAATTGTTGCAAAATGACCTATCCTTCCAAAGAACGAGGCCACCATTTTTTTTCCCGCACTTCGATCTCTCTTCACTTTAGTTGGCAACTTCTCGAAAGGAAACACCCACTGAGCAGATTGTCTTTTGGTTTTAGGATCATAACAGTAAATCCAGCTTTCGTCACCTGTTAGTATGTCGAACACAGCATTTGAGTCACCTCCGTTAAATCTTTCAATCATTTTACGACACCAATCCACACGATGGAGTTTTTGAGCCTCAGTCAAATTATGAGGTATCCACCGGGCGCAAAGCTTCCTGACCGCTAAATGTTCGTGGAGGATTTTGTGCACTTGACTCATACCGATGTCTAAGCTTGTCCGAATCTGTTGATAGGTCACTCTTTTGTCAGTCTCTATCATACGCCGCACAACACAGATGTTATCTTCAGTCATCGCCGTAGAAGGCCGTCCCTCACGTAAATCATCAGTGAGATTAGTGCGACCACGTTTAAACTCATTAAACCAGTTGTAAATAGTCGCACGAGATGGGGCTTCATCGTGAAAGGCCAATCGTAGTGTATCATAACTTTCTTGTTGACTTAAATGACATCGAAAGTCATAAAAAATCATTGCACGAAAATTTTCTCGTGTTAAATTCATGATGACGTGACACAGACAATTTTCAATTTGCCGCCAAATCGTAAAACAAATGACAAATGAATGAAATATATACTCAGTAATATTGGCAAAGAGTTATATTTTCAAATTTTAGAATTATTTTTTTATTATATTGTTTATAAGTGGCCAGTTCTAAGAACTTTCAGTTTGACCCTCGTACAAGCAAACTGGTAGCTTTGTTCGGAGAATGTAACAATATTTCTTTCGACATATTCAAAACTTATTCTGCATTTGAATATTTGGTATTTTTTTTATTTAAGGAACTTTCATTTCAAATGTAAAGAGACCATTTTTAACCAACTTCAAAATGGAAAATGAGGAGGTTATACGATGGCAGTGTATATTTTTTGTGTGTTCACCAACTTCTCCGCGAATTAATAATATTTAAGTGATGACAAAAAATAAATCTGAATATATAAATAATATAAAAACAATATTTACAAATTGAATATTTAATTTACGACAAAAAGAAACATTTTATATTATACGCTTTAGAATCTTTCAATTTATGCAATGTGCATATATTCTGAAACTTTACGTTGCTTATACAAAATACTAGTTACGACTTGTGTTGTTACGTGTCGTTGCTCGTCGTCGACCTAATATTAAGGTGACTTTAGGCAATCTTAAAAATTCTTTAAGATTTTGGTCAAATATCAAGTTAACTAACAGCTCCACAAGTAACAAAATTAGACAGACGAACTCCTTATTAGTAGTTATTACGTTATCGTTATTATCACCATAGAAATAAACTTTTATTCTGTGATTATTACAGTTTGTTTGCATTGCATTGGCCCCGAAACTACTGCACCGATTTTTAAAATTCACCAACGGGAAACTGCTACGTACGCCGGCCGGTGACATAGGCTACAGTTAACGTGGGCAAACAGCCTGTATATTATATTATAATAATACACGCACGACTCGCACGTATTTCTCTCAAATAAGGTTTAGAATTTTTACTCTCCTTGTTGTTTTGAGACCTTGTTTATAACATAGCTATCCTTTATCTAAAATGGGCATTTTATCCCACTTGGGATTGTTTGAAGTACACATTTCTATCATTTTTGAAGGTCCGTTTAGGTACATATATGATCCAATTCCGACGATTTTCAAGATTTACGGGCGCTCTGATTGGCTTACGATGGTACGAGCATACGATGTGATTTTTGGTTCTCTATGTTACCTAGGCAGCTTTGGTTCTTTACAAATACACTCACGTTTTTTAAATAGAATGAACATAAATTTTTCACTTTTATTAAAGTCGATTCTATATTTAAGAAAAAAAGAAATCTTTTTTTTTTGTGATACCTAAATATTTCAAAGCAAGGTCTTCTGCCTCTTCCACGGTCACTCTTTTCATACTTGTATTGTTTTGTCATTATTTCATCCGACATTCTTTCAAAATGTCCGAACTATTGGAGCATGTCTCTGAATATTTAACTAGAGAAAATATCACTTAAGTCATCTCTCTTTCTTATAGTTTCAGTACAAATGCGTTACTCAGGAAATTTGCGTAATTATCTCGTCTCAAATGAAGTTTTTGTACATACATGCTCGCTCCCTGACTTTCCCAAACCTCAATTCCATGTATTAGCATTGGGATCAGCACCACATTATGAATAACGATCGGCGTTTTCTGGATAAAGGTTTTACTTTTCAAAAACAAGAATTTTTCCCAAAGCTCAATTCATATGAAATTATAATTTTATTGGTTCAATAACAAATGTCCTAGAAGAACCAAAGTTTCGATTTCTTTCTCTTTTCCCTTTTTTATAAAAACAAAACTAAAGATTCCATTTTAATAAATTTAGAAATAATATTCTTATGAATAAAAAAAATGCGTCAGAATTCATAAACTGCGAAGTTACAACAGGGTATACATAAAAATATATACTGTATATGTATACAAATATATTTATCAATTCATTTTTAATTGCTTTAATGTTCAACGATCATTACTCCCACCGCTTTCATCAAAATAGTGCTTTATCTAAATGTTCCCAACTTGTTTGACTATTGACCTTCAAATATATCAACCTAGCTGGATCAAAATCGGACATCGCTACCATTGAACCAAACACCTGTTGTGCAATATCGAAATTCACAGCACAATTTTACATTGAAATAAAAATAGCTTTCCATCGACATTCACACGGGAAGTAATACAATCCTATAATCTAACCATAGACCCGAACTATTACTGACCAAGTTTTAGTATAGTACCTACCAAGTTACATGTAAATCCCTTCACTAATGTTTGGGTTTTTCAAAAAATGCAGAAGAATGATAAACTATTTTTTAACTGAATTCAAAATCGAAAAGTAGGAGTTTTTATGTTCGACGGCGATGCATGTTTTTTTTTATTCGGTATCATTATTGTCAGTGTTTGCTTTGAAATGCATCGTTATATCTGCGGTTACAAAAATGTTCTCCATTTTCCTGTTTGGCAGTAAAAAGCGCATTTTCTGCGCTACCATGCTATTCTGTAATCAAACTGCCTCGAATTGACAGCAAGCGAAGCGTTTATTTCAAGGTTTTATTTCAATGAACCTTCATGCTGTGAAGAGTAGTTTTCGACGTCGGGTTCAAGAATGTGTTTTTTACAGAATAGCTAAATTTGCAACATAGTATCCACAAGGTATCTGTGTGTAATAACATCCTTTTGCTGTATTGTCTATCGTTTCATGGAATCCGTGGCGTACTACTACACAACCGCTTTCTTACTCGCTTTAGCAGATGGCGCTTGTAATCGACACAAAAAGATGGGGAATATTGTGCTGCCAGATGTAGTTCAAACCTTTAACTTGTTGCGTGGTTTAGGAGTTAAAAGTCGAACAGGTGCGGAAAATGATATGGGAGATAAACAA